TAATTTTAAACAAGTATCTAAACAGGGAGTCACATAATTTGGACTATGTAAGGAGTGTTTCCTTATCTGTGGTGATAGATAACAATTATACCCCAATCTTTTTTTTTCTCTCATCAGCTTACTTTAGTGTTTGTGTATGCAATGAGTGAGTAGCCTGAGATCATTCTTTATTCACTGTAGTCCAGAGAAGTCAAAAGTTCAGATGCCCCTGCGCTGTGTGTTCTAGATGTTGAATGACATGCTGAGGAATTTCAAAGTGGGTCAAATTTCAGCAATTTGAAGGTAATTATAGAGGCTTGGTAGAAAAAAAAATGGAATGGTAATGATCACTAAAGAGACACAAGATTTGGGAGGAGATAAGAGAACGTTCTAGATTGGGAAGTCACCACGGAACTCAAAGTTAAACAACCCAAGAGCTTGGGGAACATTGAACAAATGAAACTGGCTAAAGAGGAAGGCTCATAGAAGGGGACCCTGAGAAATAAGGTTGAAAAGTTATTGTGGGTTGTCTTGGTCATGGGGGTCCCTTCAAGTGTCACAGCCAGGAGGGAAATGATCCATGAGGTAAGGAGGAAACTCGGTTCAGCATGAGTTAACCTGTCTGGCTAGTTCAAACTTCTAGAGTCTGACCCTGAGCAGTTTACTTTTTTACATATTTAAAAACAGTAAGACTTTGAGGGAAAGTTTTTTCATGACAATTATCAAAGCAAAGCTTAAGACATGGCAACATTGAAACTCCTTTGCAGAGTACATTTCTTTAGCAAAGCAACTACCACCTCTTCCAAAATGGATTCTATTGACCGAGAAACAATGCTCAAGATAAGGGTCTAGGGAGGAAGGTTTTGTAATAAGCATAATAGCAAAGCTTTTTTGCAAAGTACACAGGACCTCTTTCATAACGATGGGTTCTACTAACTGAAAAACAATGCTCAAGAGTCTGGGGAATTCAAATGGAGGCTAGCTCCACAAAATAGCAAAAGATCACTAGGTTAATAAACAACATCCATGCCAGCCTTCTTGGTGAACAGGTATCAGTTTCTTGCATTGAAGGAAAAAGTCTGCATGTTTAACAATTCTGGTTTCAATAGTGCTATTTGTAAGCACATGAACCTCCTGCTCTCTATACGTGGTCACTGTTCTATTCCTGTGAAGAGACACCATGACCACGACAACTCTTACAAAAGAAAGCATCTAATTGGGACTGGCTTACAGCTTCAGAGGTTTAGTCCAGTATTGTCATGGTGGGGAACACAGTGGCAAGAAAGTAGACATAGTGATGGAGAAGTAGCTGAGAGATGCATCCTGATCTGTCGGCAAAGAGAGAAATACTGGGCCTGGAATAGACTTTTCAAACCTCAAAGCCCATCCCCACTGACATATTTCCTTCAATAAGGTCACAGCTACTCCAACAAGGCCACACCTCCTAATCCTTCCCAAATAGTGCCACTCCTTGGTGACTAAGCATTCAAATATATGAGCCATTCCTTTGATTCCCTCTTTGGTCCAGATTACACAGGGTCCAGGGACAGAGTTTACTCTGCAGGTACATAAGCAGAGTGACTTGATTATCATTTTAGGAAACCTCACATGGCAATGATGTTGAGAACAGATTGATCCATATAAGATATAAGAAAAGGCATGGAGCCATTATCTAATGAGAATAAAGAATAAATATAACACACCATTGTAGATGAATTTCTAAACAGTCTTATTAATAGAAAACACAGAGCCAAACACAGGGGTGAAAACCTGAGAGAGGTCAGAGGAATAGGAACAGCCACATGCTAACCTTGAAAGGACCAAGCAGATGCCATAACAGGCTGCTCAGTCTTCTCTCAGAGATCAGGCCTCAATTTCAGTTTCCTGAGACTTGATCGAGCAGTTTCTGGGAGGGTCATGAACAAAAGACATAGTCCTTGCAGTAGCTCCCTTTCTGCATGTACTCTGACTGCTCAGGGTTCAGCCAGTTGTTTACTGTCTGGGACCCCTTACCAACGTATAGCTACGTGCATGGGTCAATGTGAAAGTGTGAGTCCAGCCAGCAACTCGCAACTCAAGGACAGAGCCTGGGCCACTGAGTCAGCCCCCACAGTCAGTATGTGCTAGGCCAGCCAGCCCCCATGGCAGCTCAAGGGCAAAGCCTGGGAGTTATCCATGCCTGCCCCAAAATGATAACTGTAACCCCCAACCAGTAAATTCAAAGGCTACATACCCTCACCCAATCATATGATGCAAAGGCTTGTACCACCCGGCTTGAGGTTTTTCCCTTTAAAAACCCCTCACCCTGTGGTGGCACACACCTTTAATCCTAGCACTCGGGAGGAAGAGCCAGGCAAATCTCTGTGAGTTCGAGGCCAACCTGGGCTACAGAGTGAATTCCAGGAAAGGCACAGACTACACAGAGAAACCCTGCCTCGAAAAAACAAACAAACAAACAAAAAACTCACCCTGAGAGCTCAGGGCTGTCCTCTACCCACTATATTGAGTGTTGGACACGGACCAAGCCTGGGCTTGCTTGTTACCAATAACCCCCTGTGTGTTTGCATCAGCTCTGTGGTGGTCTTGCTGGGGTGGGGGGTGTCTTGTGATATGACCATAACAACCTCACCTCACCAACTCCGAAACTTCCAAAAGCAAGCTACTTCCTGTTTACCCATGTCTATATGCCTTGCTGTTCTGCCATTTGATTTGCTCTCTGTCCAGTTACATCACTTCCTCTTCCTGCTCAGCTCCATCACTTCTTATCTGTCTGTACAGACTCCAGACCTCCATGGTTAACTAGTGTTGGAATTTAAGGCATGTACCACCACGCCTGGCTCTGTTCCCAGTGTGACCTTGAAATCACAGAGATCCAGACAGATTCCAGCCTCCCAAGTGATAGGGTTAAAGGTGTGTGCTAACATTGCATGACTTTTGTGTTTACTTTAAATAGCTGGATTTTTCCTCTGATCTCCAGGCAAGCTTTATGTATTAGAGCACAAATAAAATATCACCACACACTGTATCTATAATGTGTTAAGCTATTTGGTAGGTACTATGCTAATATCCATTTTCTCCCTTGCTGATCACCCCAGGTTTATCAAGCTTACAAAAAGAAGATTGTTGAGTAAAACATAAATTTTCCCTCAGTTCTCACACATCACTTAACATACTTCTTTATTTTATTATTTTATTTATATAAGAGTTTTGCCTGCTGTATGTATGTGCACCATGTGTACGCCTGGTGCCTGTGGAGGTCAGAAAGCATTGGATTCCCTGGGCCTGGAGTCACAGATGGTTGAAAGCTGACACATGGACACTAGGAATCGAACCTGAGTCCTCTGCTAGAGCAACAAGTGCTCTGAACCACTGAGTCAATTCTCCATTGACACAACAAATTTGTTTTAATGTAACTGCTTACTCTCATCTCCCCAGGATATCTCAGGTATCTTCTGGATGTGTAGCATCCCCTAAGCTCAATGTTTGAAGGACTGGTCCCCAGTGGGTGAAACTACTCATTGGAAGGTGATTAGATCAGAGGACTCAAACCTTATCAGTTGATTAACCCAGTCAAGGTTCATAATCTGGTGGCATTATTAGGAGGTGGGGCCTGATTAGAGGAAGTAGGTAAATAGGGTATGCCCCGGCCCCTTCTTATCTGCCTCTCCACCTCCCTGCTTCCCAGTTGCCATAAGATGAGCAGCTCTGTTCTGCCACACCACCACCACCCCCGCCAGGAACAGTAGAGCTAAGTGAGCTCAATCTTTGAAGCACAACAGATCTTTCCTCCATTTGAATTTCTCTGTTAAGTCACAGCAACAGAATACTGATGAACATCTCAAATTCAACATGCTCAAAACTTAACTCTACCTCACCCAAGATTATCTTTTTCCAGTATCCCTTGTCTGAGAAAAGAGCATTCAGCCAGGCAGTGGTGGCGCATGCCTTTAATCCCAGCACTTGGGAGGCAGAGCCAGGTAGATCTCTGTGAGTTCGAGGCCAGCCTGGTCTACAGAGCAAGTTCCAGGACAGGCACCAAAACTACACAGAGAAACCCTGCCTCAAAAAACAAAAACAAACAAAAAACAGCATTCAGCTGTACAAACCAGAGACCTATGAACCAATAGAGCACACCTGCTCTCTCATACCTCAACTTCAGCAAATCTATGTTCTGGTCATAGGCACAAAATACAGCTATCTGCCCCATCTTAATATCTTGGCCATTACCATCCTCACCTAAAGTACCACAATGTACAACTGGAATATGCACGTATCTCCCTTTTAGATTTTACATAGAATGGTGCACTCCTTTAATCCATTCTTCTCAATGCAGAGAAAATAATTGCAAGTATAAGCCTGAATATTTCACAGCACACCCCAATTCTGCTTCAGACACCCAGTTTCCATAGCTCTTTGGATAAAATCAGAATCCCTCCCATTGGCCTCCATGACCTACCTCTTAATTTCATCTCTACCATCTACCTTTGTCCTAGTTCTCATTCAGTTTCTCAAGTCTAAGTCTCCCATCTGCCTAGATCTTTGCATATGATTTTCCATTCCCGACAACATACCTCTCACTGCATCTCTACCCTCCTCACCCTTTCACTCATCTTTTATTTCCTGGTTTGTGACATAATACGGTGAATCCTTGTTATTAGGAGTTCTCTATGAAAAATTTGCCACCCGTTTGTGCTGACTGACCATAATTTTAATTTGTGATCCATCAATGTCAATTACTCCTAAATACAAGAAGTTGTGTCTTTTGGTTTTGGTACTAAGGATTAAACCCAGAATCCTGTACATGCTAGGTAAGTGCTCTACCAGGAGCTACATCTCCAGCCTCTTGTGTTCTGAGACATAGTCTCCTTATGTAATCCAGGCTTGCCTCCAAGTCAAGATCCTGCATTCTCAGTCTCCCACTTGCTGAGATTTTTATTCAATTATCAAACCACCAAAGCATACCACAGTACATTTCACGAGTGCCCAATAAATATGTATTGGGTAAACTATCAAATACTCACAGGACTGAGCAAGACAACTGAAGCTGCTGACTGTTGAGATCACTGACGACTATCAAAAGTAGCCTGAGTTTACAGAGGAGGCAGAATTCAGAAGCAATTGAGAGAGAGTGAGGGAGTGAATGACAGGCAAGCTGACAGGAGAGCGGCAGTGTCAAGAGAATGTTGCTTGTTTTCATTCTGCTGTTGTCTGTACTGTTGTTCCTCTAGACCGAGAAGACCAAGAAGAAAAAATGGAAAATGAGAGACAGGACATAATCTGAGAACTACAGTTAAGAGGACTTTAAAGTGTCAACAAGAGGTAAGGTAAGCAAAGATAGCATAAGAGTTGCTTAACTTAAGTGTGACCGTGTAATCAGTTGAATATATTTAAGTCTATAAATAAAGATGCTGGTGGGCTAAAATCAACAACGCCTAGGTGGGGGAGCAAACAAGAGCATGGTGTCAAAAGGTAGAGAAGACATTCACCAGAGGGATTCATCAGAAGCCTGTAACTGGGGTCCTTTAAAAAGTAAAAGTATAAGGAGGGAAATGGAGATGTCTCTAGAATAAAGGAAACTTAAGGTCATGTATGAACCATAGGACTACGGTTACATTTATCTTCATTTGCCGGCAGGTGGGCACAGACCTACAATTGCAATATTAGTGGAGACAGAGAGAAGGAGATCTTGAGATCAAGGCCAGAGGTAGATCAAGGGCCTTGAGAAAAAGTGAGCTAGGTAGAAGATAGGATGAAGTGTTTGGAAGAGTTACATATTCTAGATTTTAAGAAATAAAATTAAAAAAAAAAAAAAACGGGCGGTGGTGGCACGTGCCTTTCATCCAAGCACTTGGGAGGCAGAGGCAGGTGGATCTCTCTGTGAGTTCGAGGCCAACCTGGTCTACAAAACGAGTTCTAGGACAGCTAGGACTGTTACACAGAGAAACCCTGTCTCAAAAAATTAAAGAGAGAGAGAGAGAGAGAGAGAGAGAGAGAGAGAGAGAGAGAGAGAGATTGAGATTTGTGTTGGGAAATACAACCGAGGATTTGGCCAAAACTCTTTAGATTTGATGCATACAAGTGACTAGAATGTTGAACTATGGTGACCTCTTTTCCAATCTTATCCTCAGCACTAGGGTACCTCTTTTTTTTTTTTTCAGGCACATATGCAAAAAAAATTTAAAACGCCTGTTAATAATTTTTAAAAATACTTTTTATTTTGTCAAGAGTACGCTCAGCTAAAGAGGGTAATAACAGTGCGTTCTGCGAGAGAGCACATCGTGCCGCGGGAGGGGTGAGGCTGGCATTGGTCAAGACGTCGTCGTACAGCGGGTTGCAGAGGAGGCCTACGTATGAGCCGGGCCAGCTGCGCCCCAGAACCTTCCCCTCCGCTCACCTCCGACGCCGCCGACTGCGGCCAAGAGCGGCTGGGGCACGGAGCAGGGCCAGCCCCTTGTCTCTCCGCCAAACCAACGCCTGGGGAACCAAGACCAAGGCTTCCGCGCCACTGCCCGGCGGGTTCCCACTTCAGCTCCACGCCCCATAGCCCGCTTCCGGGCCCGCGGGGGCGGGCCGAAAGAAAACGAGCACCAATCTTTCTGTAGGCGTGGAGGACGTCTGGCCCCTAAGCCAATCAGAGAGCTGGTGGGCGGGGCCGAGGGCGTGGGCTCGCCCCGGGATTTAAACTTGAACGGCCGACCGTTAACGACTGCGTGGAGTGAGGGTGGGTGGTTCGCCTGCGTGAGTGGGAAGCCGTGGTCCGCCGTGAGCGGCGACGAGACGACTAAACCCGCAGCAGCAGCAGCAGCAGCAGCAGCAGCGGCGGCGACAGGGGCTGGTGACGTACGCGGAGCCGGGCAGCGGTGGACAGACACTTCCTGGGACAGGGTGCGGCGGAGGCCCGAGCTCCTTCCCTGGACCGCTGCGCGTGGATTCGCGTTCTCCTCCCTGGCCGGGCTCTTGCGGTCAAGGTAAATCCCGGGGTGCGCTGCCTGGGGCGTCCTTAACCGTCCACCGGGGCAGAGGCCGCCAAGTTCCTCCAGGTCACAATGTGCACTGTGCGCCACTCTTGCCCGGAGGCCGAGCGAGCTGACAGCCCTTGGAGTCAGCGTGGAGGCTGGGGACCGGTCCCCTGGGGAAGGAGCGGAGCTCTCGGCACGCCCACGGCCAGATGGTGCTACGGGTGTCCTCATTGTTCTAGCAGCAGGGAAGTCGTCTCACGTTTGGGTTGCACCTTTCGTGGGCTCATGCCTACAACCAGCCCACCATTGCGTTTGCTTAGAATTTAGGATAGCGGGTAAAACCGAAGGAACGGCTATTACAGTGCCCTTTCAGGTTTGTTAGGCTTTTCAATACGCAGTGCTGATGAACGTGAATAAATACAAATAAGCACGCTAACCAGTGTGTCCAGGTAGTAAGTTTTTCTAGAGAGCAGTTTGTCATTTGACTTGAAGGCTAAATTGCACCATAATTTCAGTTATATCCGCATCCGGGAATTTAAGAGTTAAAAATACCACCCTCCAAATCCTTTCAACTGTAACTAGGTAACTGCTTAAGTTTGTTTTGTTGTTGTTGTTTTGTTTTGCCTTTTTTAGAAAAGATAGGTATTTTGGTCAATGTTAACCATATTTATTCACAAAATATAAGATGGTAGTTTAGCTTGTGTGTGTCTCTCTAGCTTGTGAGATTGTCGTGTTTTATTAGAAACCAAAGGAACTGAACATAACCTATAGACCTTATGAAAAGTTGCATTCCACTCTGTAAGCATCAACACATTTGAGGGGTAAAATGACGGAGACATAATTTGAACACAAAGGAACAACACTAACGATGTCCAGTAAACATGCCATTAAAAATCCTCATGGCTTTAGTGTCTAAAATTCAATTAAACTTCAAAACATATTGAAATAATTCTGCTTTCTCAATGTAGAAAGTAAACCTTAAGCCCGTCTTTACATTTTTCCAACATCAGTCCTTACCTTGGAGTTCATATAAATATCACCTCAGTGGTTTTGCAAAAATACATTTGGGGGCTTCTCCTTTGCTTCTGTGATGACTGCCTACCAAACATAAGGTCACTGAATCCATTCTCTTTTAGATTCCTAGGCAGGCAACCTCTTGAAAGGATTTTACTCAGATTTAAACCTTGAACTCTTGCTTCTACAGACTCCGGAGTAGAACACCTTTTACTTAGGGCTTTGGAGGTAACTTTTTAAATAGGTACTATTTCTTAAAGTCTGTTTTTCTTTTCTAGGTTTTTCCTTTTTGTTAACTCAAATACTGTTAGTCAAGGCAAACCAAAATAAGGTAAGAAACTGTTCTATCAGAGGACCAGAGTTGGGATCCCAGCACCCAGTGGATGGCTCACAACTGCCCAGTCCCAGCTCCACAGAATGTTAAGATGCCTTCTTCCAACCTCTGTGGACACCCATGAGATGCACACATACAAATGTTTAAGACTTAAAAATGAAAGAACAAAGCAGTCATTTTTAGAATGTTACATTGACAAGAAATCCTAAATCACTTTGTATGCTGTTCTCCTGGATCCTCTACTAGGTTGTAAAAGCTATTATTATGTTGTACCACTTCTGCACAAGTCACCTCACTTTTCAAGCTACTTCCCTTCTAAAATCCCATGAGTCTGTGATTATATACTCCATCACTAGGAATCTAGTACTTAGCACCAGATTACTGTAAATATTGTTTCTAACTGTCCAGGTGTTCCTTATATTTAGCAGTTTCCAGATATAATCCATATATGTTTTGAGACTTGAACATAAGAACAAACTAGTTACTCGTTGATTGGTTTTTATAAACATGTCTAGTAAATGTGAATAACACTATTGCAAGGACAGTTGCTAAAGTAGGCATTTTTAAGTTCATTTGCTATGGTATGAGGCAAGAATTTCATATGTCTGAATATTAGTAGTGCTTTTGCTGCATAATTTTCTGGCTTTTAAAACTTCTTAGTGGCCCCTAAAGATATGAATGTGACACATTGACTTACCTAAATTAAGCTTTTGTCACTTTGTAGTCATACTAAGTATGTGCTAATTCCCAACTCTTTAAAGGACTTGTATTTTCTACCATAGACTTCAAAGTCTTTTCTTGTTTGGTTGTTGAGAAGGAGTTTCTTATAGCCCAGCTGGCCTTGAACTCCTGATCCTGCATCCACCCAAAGGCTGGGATTATAGATGTGTGCCAGTATACCCAATTAGCTCAAAACCAAAACATTTTTCCCCAGTTCTGCAAAGTTGAACCTTCCAGAACTTGGCTAACAATAAATAAAAATGTTTTTACATCTCTAAAAGGTCATAAGAAGAATGCAACATAGCATTTTTTTCAGAACCTAAAATATTTGCTCTTACCCTTAGTAAAAAGAATCTGTCAGCTCCTGCACTTAGCTGCCTCATTAAAAACATACTGTGCTATACTGAGTTAGGTAGATTTCAAGTAGCTTCACATCTGGCACTAAACCCATCTACCCAATCTTTAATTGATGGAATTTAATAAGAAAGCAAGACATTTTGGCAAAGATCTTTCAGATAAGTGGTTATTACATTTGCCTTGGAATAACAAATGATATTTGTGGGGTCAGGCTTTAATGAATTTGAACACAAGGCACAGATTTCCAGAGGCTTATATAGCTCACAAGTGCTTTTTGCTTCTTTTATTCCATAATTCTTTTGGACAGGGATTAGAGAATATTTAGACCCTTTCCTGTTTAAGACTTGTTAGGTCTTTTTAAGAGCCAGTCTTTAGAATTTTAGCTGATTTTGTTTCTTAGATCCTGGTAGAGATCTCAGCTTGCTGGGATTATACAGTACTGTTAATCTCTGCATCTATTATACAGACCCTCTTTGTTGGATTCTCTAAAACAGTATTTTCTTCTTCTGTGTCGGCACAGTCCCTTTTGGCCTTTGTTTCTTCCTTGTGGAGTAAATGTGGGTGATCAATACGTCCTCTCTGTACAAAATGCTGGATCCGGGATTCCAGTCCTTGGCATTTAGGGCGATCCATGAGGGGCTTATATGTGCGCATTTTCACTCCTTCGACAAAGGCACTAGTTTGCTTTATGACAGAGGGCTTAATGTTTCTCCATTCTGTTGCTTCATCCATCTTTGTTCCTGCCCCACATGTTATCATGACAGAGTCTAGTCCTTGTAGCATACTATACAGCATGTGGGTTTTAACAGCATGATTAGCCCATAGCTGTTGCAGGTGAGTAACATTGAACTCCTGAACCTCGCGATCATAAATCCATTTGGTATTCTCAAATTTACAGTCATACAAGACTAGAGGAAATTCAACAGCCATGCTAAAGAAAAACAAGTGAGAATGCACAGCAGTTAGCCAATAGTTCTTTTTTATAATACTGAGCTTTAGTTGAGATTAAGGGGGGGAGGAAGATCTACTAATGTCAATGGTTAGTAACATCTAAGAATACAACACTGTCTTAATATGGAGCAACTTTATAACTGCTTCTTAAAAGGAAGGAATAAGAGCAATGATCAATTTGCTCGGTATTAAGTGGCAATAAATCAAGATGGGGGTTGATAAGAAAGTAAGACACTGGCTCCCCATCATACCATAAAATTTAAAGCACATTATTTATCCAGATTTGTTCATGACATTCTCATAGAATGAACTACTGGTGTCGCTGTTAGCCACAGCCTGTTCACAAAAGAAAAACCTCTTTTCTACCTTCCCTATGGTTTCAGAAGCTGGGAATTAGAAGCCTGGTCCAAATATCTACTTCCTCACTAATGGAATAGAACAATGAGAAAACTAGTAGATAGCAAGCACCCCCTCTTACATGTTCACAACATTCTACAAATCAGAAGTTTGTGAAAGAAGCTGGGGAGATGACTCAGTGGTTAAGAACACTCACTGTTCTTCCAGAGGACCTGGGTGCAATTCCCAGTACCCACATAGTAGGCTACAACCTTCTGTAATTTTGGTTCCAAAATATCTGACACCCTTTTTTGTGGTTACCAGGCACACAAGTGGTGTACAGGCATATATGCAGGCAAACACCAAACACCTATACACATAAAATTTTCTAAAAGTATACAATTTAATGAAGACAGAATCAGTGGTTGAGTTTTTTTCAAAATCATGGGAGAGAGACAGATGTACTAGTTTGGTTTAACTTACCTATATTGAGGTTTCTGGGGATTTTTCTCTATGTTTAGCAATTCATCAATAATCTCTGGCTTCTCCATTCCTTGGCCAATCAGAAAGAGGATAGCCATCATACACCGGACTTGATGATACAGGAAGGCCTGGCCAGTCACTTGGAACTGACATAACTGGAAAGGCTCCTGCCGTCTCTCCTCACCCAGGCTCTGAGCCACCAGTTGCACTTGTGCAGACAGGATAGTCCTCTGAAAGTTCACCACTCCATTGGCCACATCCATTTTACACAGGTTTCGGAAGTCATGAGTGCCGACATACTTCTGAGCGGCGTCATTCATGGTTACAATATCTAAATCAGCACGAGGGAAAAAATAGCGGTAAGTCCGCTCTAGACAGCTAAACCTAGCACTGAAGCTGGGCTCTACAGGAGCCCAGGCCAACACTCGGATATCTGCAGGGAGCACCCGATTGAGAATGTGGGTGTAACGGATCTCTTTAGCAACATCGTCGGCTTCATCATCTTTTAAATTAGAGTCATCTGAATCCCTGCCCCTTGGAAACTGAGAACGTAGGTCCAGAGAAATCACCTGTGGAATTAGAGAGAGGAAACTGTTTCAGAGATGATCTCAAGACTCAGTGTGTACACTCAGATTTCCTGTTACTACTTGCTTTAAGAAACAAGGTACTGGCCCTTACCTGACCAAAGGCACTAACTCCTTTGTCTGTTCGACCACACCGGTGATAGTTGGATGTCTGTCTGTTTTCTACTAGTCGGGTCTTGGTTAAGGCCTCAAACAGTTTCTCTTCAATGGTATTGCTTGTGTTTTCCTGACTGGCAAAGCCCTGGTATCCCCAGCCTAGGTAGGCTATTTTTAAAGCTACATGTCTTCGGCCATGAGCACTGAAATCAAATGCACGCTTAGCTTTTCCAGAGCCTAAAGAATTTTCTCTGATGTTTGAGTCTTTGATACTGTTGGCCTGTTCTTTCTTAAGTCTTTTCACCTCCTGCTCCAGTTCCTTTACTCTGCTTAGGAGTTTCTCAATCTGGTTTCTTTCTGTGTTTTCAGCCATGACAACCGTCTGAAGACAAGACAAGAAAAGCCGTCTGTGGGAAAAGAGTGAAGGAACACATTAGTTTCAGTGCTAGTTCCTTTGGATATGACAGTGTAACATGATTAAATATCATTGAAGCTGGGCATGGTAGTGCAGTCTTATGGTCCCAGTACTTGGAAGGCACAGACAGGAAGACCACAAGTTCCAGGCCAGTCGGGTACAAACAAGATACTATTTCAAGAAAACAAATAAACAAACAAAAACACTAAGATTTAATTTGATGTTAAAAGTGTAGGTTCTGCTTACCCAAGGTGCCCAAAGACACCAGTTTTTTTTATTATGGATTCATCACTGTTTTTTGTTTTGTTTTGTTTTGTTTTGTTTTGTTTTTTTGGTTTTTCAAGACAGGGTTTCTCTCTGTAGCTTTGGAGCCTGTCCAGGAACTCACTCTGTAGCCCAGCTGGCCTTGAACTCACAGAGATTCGCCTGGCTCTGCCTCCCGAGTGTTGGGATTAAAGGCGTGCGCCACCGCCGCTGCCGCCGCCCAGCTCATCTCTGTTCTTTTACATTCTATCTGGCTACTTTCACAAAAGAAAAGTGAAAAATTCACCTATTTTTTTAAAATTTAGGGAAATGCCTCAATTTCATTCTCTATTCCTTACTAACGAAGATGAGGATTCATGTAGACTGGTTTTCTCCCTATAACATTTCCTCTTGATTTCTCAGTACATTTGTCCAGTATTTTTAATAGTAAGAATTATTTACATGGGGTACTTATGACTGCTTCTGTTTCTATTGTCTTACAATATTTGAAGTAAGTGGCCTATATATTATCTAATGTTCTGTTTTGTTTTAAAGGTGGCACAATAGAAGCTATCTTAATTGAAGAAATACAATCAATGATTATATTTCACATTGGAAGTAGAACCTGGAGACAAATTTTTCTTACTTTAAGTAGTTGTAATGGCAGAAAAAAGGTAATTAATAATTACTGGCTTTTTTACAAACAATTTCATGTGTTCCTAAAAGACTTCTGTAACAGTTATACAAGAGTTAGTCTGACATAATTTGGATCTGAAAGTTGAAATTTCTGGTGTATTTCAGTAACCAAAGGGCAACAATACCAGTCTGAACACTGAACTAATCTGTGACTTGTAGTTACTTGGTGAGCATTTCTATATTCATTCTAAGGCCAACTATGACTAAATGGAGTTTATGAGTTTATGGTAGATTAAACATTTAAATCTTATAAGTGACACTAATATTACTAGCAGAAATATGGGGAAATGCCTTTTCTTATATTTTTAAATTATCAGAAAAAGCCGGGGGGGGGGGGGGGGGGGTGGAGACACCACCACAGGAATTTGACGTAGAGCCTCTTGTATTCTAGGCAGTCCCTCAGTCACTAAGCTATATTCCTTGGGGAAAGGCATTGCTAACTAACACATGTTCAAGTGCTTGAGAACAGTTAATTGTGGAATAGTCTACAAGGATGGGCAAGTTTGATAGTACACCACTGTGAAGGGGGGAAACTCACTTAGAGGTAACCCCATGCTAGAAATTGAACCTATGCTACATGCTTGTGCAAGTGTGTCAAAGCTTACAAGATACTCACTGTATATTACTTCTTAACAAGTGATTATAAGTCTGTGTTATATCAATAAGGGACTGGACAAATTTGACACAACATGGTGAAGTAAGTTTTCATGTGCTGACAGCTGAATCACCACAACTCTCTTCAAAGTTCAGAGGTTTTGTGCCATGCTCCTTTATAGTGTGAAAAACTTTAGTGTGAATACAGAAAATTCTGAAAAACTGCTAAGAAACTGCCTCTTAGACAGAAATTTCATTATGGAGGGGAAATTCTTTAAAATTATAAGCATGTATTTTTCAACTTGAAGAGAAAAAAAAGTAGGGAAACAAAGTGGCAGACAATAGATAACTACCTTCAGCCCAGTCAGGAAATCCACCACTGCGTGCTTCGGTGGTTGATTTGGATTGTTATTCTTATTAGGACAGATTTGTCTTAGAGTATATGCATACACATGTGTGCTGTATGTGTGCAGACCCCATCATGCTGCTTTTTTGATGTCTGATTCAGACTGCTGAGGTACTGTTACAGCTCCGGTACTTACTAGCTGTGTACTTTTGGGCAAGTTAACTTCTTGAAGCTTCCTGTGAAAAAGAACTAATCCTAAAATGCAAGGATTACATGGATTAATAACCATATGAGAGTAATGCCATATACATAAAGCATCCTCTAAACATGTTATATAATGTTCACCAAGCATCATGCTCCATTACATGTAGTCTCAAGCTTTCCATATGCCAGAACTCAGCCCACATCACAGGAGCCACATGTGACAAGGCAATAGGAAGTGAAAGAAAACAGTAGACATGAGAGCAAGTAATAATACATCTCTACCACAGCTACTGAATTTATTATTACCTTGTACTTTCAATTGACTATAAAACTGAGACAAGAATGGGCAATTAATGAGGTGGAAACTGACCAGTGTTATCTTTTATAGACAGCCTTATAATGTAGAGGAAGCAATGGAACAACTGATAGGACCCGGTGGACAAAAATGGGCCAATATGGATCCAGAAGAACGAATGTTAGCTGCTGCTACAGCTTTTACACATATCTGTGCAGGGCAGGGCGAAGGAGATATTAGGAGAGAAGCCAAGGCTAGCCAGTATGATCCCTACAGTAAAGCCTCCGTGACACCAGGAAAGAGACCTGCTCTTCCTGTGCAGCTGCACTACCCACCTATAAGAAGCCGCGTCACTTCATCAACTGTTTCAGAGGCTTCCCAAAAATGCAGAAAGCCAGTGATGAAGAGAAAGGTTCTGCGCAGAAAGCCAGATGGGGAAGTACTAGTGACAGATGAGTCTATTATCAGTGAATCTGAATCGGGTACAGAAAGTGACTTGGACCTCTGGAACTTAAGACACAGGCTGATGAACCTACAATTTCAAGAAGGCACAGAATCCCCAAGTGATGCTTCACAAAAATATAACCTACCACATGAGTATCAAGGAATTTCACAAGAAGATCAGCTCATTTGCTATCTACGAAGAGAAGAAATGGGACCTCCTGTTTATGAACAAGACTTGATTGTTGCCAGCAGACCCAAGTCCTTTATTCTCCCCAGGCTGGATCAGCTAAGCCGAAACCGGGGCAAGATAGACCGGGTGGCCAGATATTTTGAGTACAAAAGGGACTGGGATTCAATGCGGTTTCCTGGGGAAGATCATAGGAAGGAGCTACGCTGGAGTGTCCGAGGACAAATGCTCTCTAGAACAGAACCCCAGGCCAAGCCTCAACATGTTTATGTTCCAAACAATTACCTAGTACCAACTGAGAAGAAAAGGTCTGCCCTTCGGTGGGGTGTGCGTTGTGACCTTGCAAACGGTGTCATACCCAAGAAGCTTCCTTTCCCTCTTTCTCCTTCTTAAGACTTTTTTTTAACCTGTCTCCTTCCACGGAACTTAGGACAACCCAGTTCTCTATCTCTCTCCTTTTACATACAACTGACTTGAAAAGCCCGCAGAACATAGGGGAAGGACTTCACTGGTCCTTCCTAATTTCCCTATGTCACTTTAGGTATCATACACCACTTAAATTTCTAAGATGATATTCTCAAATGCAGCAATTGAGGGAGGGGACTACCTGAAATGTGGATTTTGTCAAAGTAGTCAGTGCCATTTTGAAAAGACTTGTAAACTGTGGTGTTTTGTTTTGGCTTTTTTTTTTTTTTTCCCATTAGTGGGCATTAAGCTCAACTATTAAAGAATTTGGAAAATGATAAGTTTGGACCTTGTTTTAAGTACTTCCCAATATAAGGACCTCAGCTCTAGGGCATGATTCTTCCTGTGATCATCTACTGATATTCAGAGTTTTTGTATATAACTTGACATGAAGACACAAAAATGAACAAATTGTCTTGGTACAGATCAAAATACTAGTTCTGTTTTTTGCTAGAACTTAACATTCTTGAAAATCTTAATAATTCAGTAAGGAATACCTTTTAAAAAAAAAAGAGTTGTCTATTTCAAGCACTAGATTTAGGCCTGAAAGCTGACAGCAGAATGCTTGTTCAAGAAGGAAAAACACTATAAGCACGAATAGCCTGATCATTACTAGCTGCTAAAACGTCCTCTGAACAATATTTGAGGCTATAGATAGAATACATTTACCCAGTACCACCCATAGCTAGACATGTTATTAGGAACTCAGCTACGTGTTGTGAACACACTGACATCAAGTAAAAATTGCAAATTCCAATGGTACATCTGAGCCAGGACAATGCCACAAATGCCTGGGAATACAAATTACGTTGTAACTCAAACAGCAAGATCTGTCATACATGCAGAGCACGAAGAATAGTTAACTCTAGGTGCAGGGTTAAAAGTATGACAGCTTTTTCAAAACAGTTGATTTAAAAAAAAAAAAAAATTCCTTTCCCTGCACCTCAAAGTTCAAACTGCCAAAATAAAAGGGATTTCAAGGTAAGTATCCCAGTTTAGCTCTTTCTAAGCATGAGAAGATCAACGCAGTCATGAGGCATATTTGTTTTAAAAAGGATGACCCCAAGACTCTTGGCCCAGCACACTAGGTTTATCAGTGAAATTCAGAAGGTAGACAGGTTTGCAACGGTGACCAAATGCCCACAAAGGGAATTCCTGGGTGTACTAAAAATAGCCTCGAAGGCACGAAACTTTTTGAAGTTTAAAGGGGGGGAGGGGGGGATACACATTTCCCCTTGATAAAGGGTTCAAGACGCGCTACTATCATTAACTCTGAAAAGTATCGCGTAAAGCAAACCCCAAAATAAACTGCTAGTTTCCGCCACGCCTTCCTCCCATACCATCTTTACTGGGCTATTGTTTGTTTTTGAGCAATTCTGGTGCAGCAGAGGCCCTCTAAGGCAGCTGCCGAATCTAAGCCCCGCTGGCGGGACTTTCTTAGCTCCAAGAAGTCCCAGGCACGACACCACATGCGTTGTCCTAAGTCCCACTTCATACACCAGTGCCTTCCAAAGCCTTTAAGTACCGGGGTAGGAGGTAGCTATTTGGTCTCCCTGCATTTGCTCATTCCTCTATAGGACTCAAAGCAACCCATCGGAGAGAGTCCACACTTACCTTCCGGTCATCAGCTCGCGACCACGCGACTAGCCGGAAGCTACGGCTTCGTGTCTCCAGTAAGCATGCGCGGCCTCACGGGAGGAGCGCCTGTGGTTCTGGGAAATGTAGTTCCAAGATCCGGGTGCCGGCTTTAAGCCCCAACCCACCGTAAGCACAGGTTTCTGATGCAGCCCTGTTTTCACCCCAAGGCACAATCAATGCAAGAACAAATGGCCAAATTACAATTCTGGTCTAAAATAAAAAGGCTTTAAATGCTGGCTATCGTATATGAAAACTAAGAGATCGAAGATCGTGTCCCAATCTTGCATATCGTTCAATTAACAGAAATTTAATTGAGAGTCAAAAGCGTTTACTATTAGGATGTTAATGTAAAGGCTAAAGGGAAATGCTATAGCCTGAATGAAACACTGACAGTACAGGGCAAAGGAGTGCTGCTTCAGCACCACGGAGAGATCATGGCGACAGTTTTGTTCCTTTTCTATTTTTGCCAATTCTAGAAATGTTGCCACGATTCTTAAAATTCCAGTCGAAAAGCAGAAAATCGTGGTTCTTTGGTCCAAACTTAGCATAAGGGATCTACCCCCGAGCTGTGCAATATATGCGTAGGTAGTGGTGGTCGAGGTTGCTTTAACAAGGGACCACGCCTTAGAATAAAAATTAAAATACGTGTATATGTGGGCACATCAGAAATATCCAGGACGGAGACAGATGTCTGCACTTGAACTCTGCTTTCTTTCCGAACCTCCAGTCGAGCCCACCAGTCCCTCCACGGTCCTATGCAATCTCACACCTTTGATGCCCAGATGGAGCTGTCCGGGGAGACACGAGCCCCGAGAGCCTGCAACGCGGTATGGGTACCGACTCCGCGCCCAGCTTCTCCCTGCTGTGCTGATGGCCGGCTGGCCAAACGGAAAGCTCGCGGGTGCCCCGCACGGCTGCGCCCCGCACCTCTCTCCCCCTCCGCCCGCCCCGCGCCGGGCCCGCGCCTGCGCAGTGCGCCGCGCCACGGGTGGTCGCGAGGCGGACGCCGGTCCCGGAGCCTAACCATTGGCCACTGAGCCGAGCCGGCGCTTCCCCGCGCGGGGGTGGCAGCACGTGCCGGGGGCGAGAGCGGAGACCGCAGCTATGGCGTCGTTACTTTGGGGAGGCGACGCTGGGGCGGCAGAGAGCGAGCGGCTGAACAGCCACGTAACCGCCGCTGAGCAGGGGAGGGCCCACGGGCGGGAGCTAGAACAAGGACTCCCGAGGGAAGTCCCCTGGGAGGGGGAGCGCCCCTCCGGCGTTTGGAGTAGGGGTGTCAAGTGATGGGGGAGGTGTGGGCAGGGGTGGAAGGGCCACGGAAAAGGAGGCTCCCAGAGGCAGGGCACACCTTTGATTGGAAAGGGCGAAGACCCCTGGAAATCCAGACAGAGAACGCAGCTGCTAGTCCTAGCTCTGAGTTGTCTCCTCTCCTGGTTTTGACCATTTAGCAGGTTCCCCTTCTTGGTGGTCACCTTTCCCTTGTAGGTGTTGTAAACCATCTTTCACCCAGGTGCTGGCCATATTCAGACTAAGAGACCTCTAGAAGAGACTATGGAAGAAACTCCCATCTTTTTATAGGAGAATTCATACCGTGGACCGATTAATGAATTCACTAATCCTTAGCATTGCAAAGGAAGGCGTTTGGGGTGGTCTTCCCTGCCCCTGCTGTAGATAGCACCAGGCTTCTGCTTGTTGTCTTGCTTCCTAACATTGGTTGAAATTTGTGCCTTTCAATAGTTTTCAAATCTCGTCCACCCCAGGAAGAACCTCCGTGGTATTAGGAGTACCACAGTCCCAAACATAGGTGAGTGTTGTTAGACTAGAGCAGACTGGCTTGATTCAAGATCTTTCTGCCAGCTGAAATAGCTTTGGCTCCTTTAATTTAATTTACACACAAGATCCTCCACCACCTTCCCAATCACTTTACTCTTCCTGTTGATGACTCTGTTTGCATACACTAAAACCTGTGAGAAATTTTGAGAGTGCACTGTATTTTTTTTCAACGTTTTTCTTTACATTTATTATTTCTCTCTTGCCCTTTTAGACGGCTCTCTTAACACCGAAGAAGATGATGAAGAGGATGATGTAGGTAAGAGACGTTTGTTTGCATGTATTTTCTAACATTGCTTGCTTTATCATCCCTTTAACAATAGTAATGAACGGGATTGCCTTGGGAAAGCACTATCTTGGCTTTCTTTTTGAGTGAATACAATCAGACAAAAATACTAAATTAGGAGGGGGTATATTTCTTTAGACAAAATGGAAACTGCAAGGAAGGGGCTAAGAATTCTCAGTTTTGCAAAGAAGAATTAGGTTCTGTCATGATTAGATGTTGGTTTGCTCAAGGTCAGGAGTTGGTGCAACAGAGCATAAGAAACTGGACCTTTGTGAAAGAGGGAGTTCCCAGTACTGTGGCATTCCTTCTAGAACTTTCTTTTAGAAGAAAAATGAGAATAAGTTGCAGCTGTTTTGTATATTTCTACCGAGTGTGAGAAAACAATTAATTAGATGCCATTCAGGAGGCTTGATGTCCCCTTTTGTTTTTGCTTTTCTAGTGGATTTGGCAGCCAATTCACTCTTAAACAAGTTAATCCGTCAGTCCTTAGTAGAATCCAGCCACCGAGTGGAAGTCTTACAAAAGGATCCCAGCTCTCCACTCTACTCGGTGAAAACATTTGAAGAGCTACGGCTGTGAGTATCTTAACTCTCAGTATGTAAGAATGCTTCAGCTAGCCAGAACTAACTAGCATACTGGTACTAAAAGAACATCAGAATCTCCTTTATTTTCTAGTAGGCTGTGTTAAAAAATAGATTGTATTTTAATAATACAACTCAAGGAACACTTGGGTACCCAAGTTGCCCAGCAAACTGAGCACATTTTGGTAGAAAAGCAAAATATTTTAATCTTGCAGGAGTCAGGGGGATACCAAGCCAAGCACAGCCATGTTGTCACCCTCCATATCAGAATCGACACAGGCTTTGATGACCCAAACGTTATCCCCTTAACCAACTTTTAAAAAAAATATAGTCCTTTACTTTGCTAACCATAATTTATTTCAAATGGTATTAAATGAGTAACTTCCTCAAATGGGTTTTCATCTCCTAGGGCCGAAACTGACATGAAGAAAATATATTCTAACAAAAAAGAACAGGTGACAGATGTGGGTGGACAAACGAGGCTTATTGTGCCTGCCAGGCACAGTAGGCAGAATGGACCTGGTTAGGTAGCAGTTTGCACAACCACCCAAAAGGCAACTCTTGACACACCTTTTGCCATTGCCTCGGGGGCCCCATTGCTTGAATGAAGAGCCTGTGGGTGAATGTGAGCAGCTGCTGGATCGCTCATCCCAGGACTTGCTGTAGTCAGCGTTGCTGATATTTAGCATGAAATTTTACTTTGTAGTAGAGAAATGGCTTGTGGATCTGGAAGATATCTTACTTGATTACAGAAGATTGATGGGATTCCTGTTTCTCATTTGGCCTTTGTTGCCAAGTTCCAATTGGGAACACCCAATATTTGGTTTCCAAGAGAAAGATGTAGTAACATGTGAACTTACATACAGGAAAATATCCAACATCCTGATGCCCAGATATTTTCTGAGTGATAGAGAGTCCTGCCTATAATTAAAACGTGGCTGCCAGTCATCCACCACGTAATGTACCAAATTAAGAACATCCAAATGTAGCCAGGCCACTACACCTTTAATCCCAGCACTCATGATGCAGAAGTAGGTGATCTCTGTAAGTCTGAGGCCAGCCTGGTCTACAGAGACAGTACCAAGACAGCCAGGGTTACAGAGAGAAACCCTGTCTTGAAAAAACAAAGACAAAGAACAAAGAAAAGAAAAAAGAAAAGAACACCCGAATGTGTGAGTAACTCGGGAAAGGTGTACAGTCCAGCCCACTCATGTTGCTCTCGTTCTGACATTTTGCAGAGGAGTACAGGAAAGATGCATTTAAAGTTCTTTCATCAGCAAGGTGAGATTATAGGGTAATGAGTCTGAAAGAAATGATAAAAGAATCACCCCAATCAAATGTTTTCTTTTTCTGGAAATGTCTGTCATTCATGAAAAGGAATTAAACTATCAATGCCACTTTGTTTCTGTTTCATGGGAAGATAACACTTGTGGTATATGGATATACTCCTTTTATCCAATGAATCTTCATCCCCGGCCAGCTCCCTAACAGAAAGTTTGGCTTTAGGCCTTCCCCACTTCCTTTAACCTAGGCTTCTAGCCTAGGTTATTATCATAGTGGTCCAGCTTAGAGGCATGATGGTATGTAGTTGGGGGGAGGGTCAGGGTTGAGGTGTAAATATTGTATTTCTAAGTATTGCTTTCAGTGCTTGTAGCTGGCTAATCTTCATTGCCAACTTCATTGGCTTTGGAATGACCTAGGTCACACACATCTGAGTATGTCCCTGAGGGTATTTCCCACGGGGTTTAGGTGAGGAGGAAGGAGCATCTGCTTGTGGGTGTCACTGTCTCGTAGACTGGAGCCTCTGAATAAAAGGTAGGACAGGAGAAAGCAAGCTGAGCATCAGCATTGTCTCTGTTTTCTGATGGCAGACACAGTGAGAGCAGCAACCTCACACTCTCCCCATCGTGGACTCTACCCCTTCTTAAACCATGAGCTCAAATAAATCCTTCTGAAGCTGCTTCTGTTGAGCACTGTGTCCTAGGAAAGTGATAATGCTTAATTGCAAAGTGGCTTACCTCAGAAGTGTATCTTTCAAGTATGTGTTTCTGGAGGCTGCTGGTACATGTATTAATGAGGCTGCTGACCAGCAGAGGCTTTGCATGTTTGAGAATGAGAATTTTTATTTATTTATTTACTTACTATTTATTTATTTAGCTATCTATCTATGTACCCATCTATTTATTATTTTACAGAAAGGAAGAGTTACTAAAAGGGATTTACGCAATGGGATTTAACAGACCATCCAAAATTCAAGAGATGGCCCTCCCTATGATGCTTGCACATCCGTGAGTTTACAGGGTAGTGGTCTTCCAAGTTGGTTGTTTTTGGTTTCTTCTATTTATACCCAGGATCTTGTGTTCAATTTATACCCAGCCGTCTCCTCTTTTTCACAGTCCCCAGAACCTCATAGCACAAAGCCAGTCGGGAACTGGAAAAACGGCCGCCTTTGTCTTAGCAATGCTAAGCAGAGTGAATGCCTTGGAATTGTTTCCACAGGTAAGGAAGGGCTCTGGTGGAAATAATTGTAGCTGTGATGCCAACAGTGTTTCAGCAATGCCTGGTCTTTCTGCAGATATATGAAGAATAGGCATTCCTTCATAAAATCCTAGAGTGTCGGGGGGAGTATGGGGCTAGTACCCAGTAATACACAGCCCCAGCCTTAGAGTCCAGCTGCCTCCAGTTCCAGCCTTGCCGCAACTGCCTGCCTAGCTGGGTGTCAGGGGCCAGTTAGTAAATCTCCCCGGGTCTGTTTTCTCTCTGCAAAGTCAGCACACTCTAAAGGCACGGATCATCATTGATCTCCTCATGCTCGACTCCTCACACGCAGTGTAGCCTGCCTTGTAGAGACCATTCCTGAAGCACTGAATGACAAATGCATCTGTGAGTGTTTTTCTCCTAAAATCATCATGTGCATTCATCACTGTGCTTGGAATAAGTAAGCATATAGTGATGGTGTCTGCATGACTGTAGGGTCAGAAGGGCATACAGTTCACTCATTTATCAGAAACTCTTGGGGGGGAAGTGTCTTTCTGAGGTCACAGAGTGGCTGGTAGAGGCACCCAGCTCACAGTTCTAGCCTCATTTCTTTTCACAAAAAGAATCTGGTCCTGTTTCCCTCTTTCCTCCAAAGGACACTTAGAAAGTTCTTTCCTGGGCTGACTTCCCATATATGCTAAAAGCCTTTCTCAGCCAGCTGCCAGTGATTCCTAGAAATTGTAGATGCATGTGATGGGGGCCAAGCACAGGAAGTGTGCTTTCCACATAAGGTCACTGAAATTTAGATTGAAACTGTGGTATCCATTCAATTATTCAAGAGAGCCATGCTTGAGCCCATGTTATGGAAATGTGTATGGAAATTATTTTTAGCCCTTTGGTAGTTGCCTTCCCTGCCATAGACCCTGCACATGAACACATGAAATAACCACCAGTTTTGTTGGGAATCTCCCCTGGAGCTGCCTACTCCAGACCCCACCCAAAGAAAGCCCACCAAGCAGTGGATCCTTCCCCCAAGGGTATTTAAGGCCCCTCCTCGGGAGCAGCCACGTAGTTCTCCCGCTTCCCCTGAGACCACCCGGGAATGCTTTGCTCAGATTAAACCTGGATTTAGTAATCTGGCCTATTGCATCGGTGGAGGTACCCACCCCCTCAGGATATTTTACTTACCAAGTTCCTTCCGTCAGAATCTTCATTCGACGGTCACTGCTTCTATGGGAGTTGGGGGGAATATTATTCTGGCAGGATTATGCATTTATAATGTGGATTAAGCAAAACATGCTGGAGACAGACAGACTCTTAAGAGCAAGTAAGAGGTGATAGGTATTGTACAAGCTGTGGTTTATCTTGCCTTCTTCATGGATTCCCAGCTCCCTATATCCCTTTCTCTCTCCATCAAAAGACAGTGACCAGTAACTTATGTTTCTAAATAGCCCTGTAGAGAGGAATATATAAAGTAACTATTTTTTCCCTTCAGCTCCAACCCCTCCCCTGAGTACTCACCTCAAACCTATGAGCTATTTATCAACTGTCAAATTATATTCAATTTAAAATGTTTCATTCAGCGAAAATCTTCAGTGACATTTCTATGCCTCTTCCCATACAACTTTTAATTGTGGTTCAAATTTGAACAGTGGCTTGTATGAACCTTCCCCTCTCCTCTTGTATCTCACAGTGCCTCTGCCTGGCTCCTACCTATGAACTGGCTCTGCAGACTGGCCGTGTGGTTGAAAGGATGGGGAAATTCTGTGTGGATGTTGAAGTGATGTATGCCATTCGAGGAAATCGAAGTATGTACCAGTCAGCCTGTCTTGGCTATTTGTTAAATCCTGGCTTCACACCTAACTTCTCTGCTTTCTCATCTCTAAAGTGGGGGAAATAACTTAAACAAAGTGGTCCAGACTTAAGCCCTGGTACAGTCTGGCATATAATGAGGACAGCAAACAGTGCATTATTTCCACACCTTGTAAGAGGATGCCCTATTTATAGTCTGCTTTTTGAGACTTGGTGATTTTGTGCCAAACAAGTTTTATTGGAGATTTTTCATTAAAATACTACATGCTTATCATGGGAACTGAAATTTTAAAGGATGAAGATTAGGAGATGGAAGTCTGCTCTTCTTTGCCCCAGGAAAAAGACAGGAAGCCAGTGTTTGCTCTTCCTTGAGCCCATGCAGATGCATCTGCACATCTGTTTCATTGAGTGCTCACATAATGGGAGCACGTCACACCACCCTCTCTGACTGGCTTCACAGCATCCCGTATTTTTTACCTCTAGACTATTATTGAATGTTTTGTTGTTCCCCGTTTGGAAAGGCTTTGTGGTTTGGAGGGCTTGTTTTTGGTTTGGAGGTGCTGGAGATAGACACTGAGGCCTTGTGCGCGCTAGCTGAGTGCTCTCATCCTGAGGGCAGCCCAGTTCCTGTAGCTGCAATGGGATCTCTCAGCTCATGCAGTGGCAGGCCGGGGACACTAGCTGCTCTGGAGACTGCAGTAGTGGCCCGGCCTGTACTCCTCACCTGACCAGTTTCCCCACAGCCATGCCATAGTTCCCACAGGACAAGAGAAAGTCGGAATGTGGTTTGGTTTGTTTGTTTTGCTTTTGGTTTTGTTTTGGTTTTTTGTTTGGTTGTTTGGTTTGGATTGGGAGGTTTGGGGGGAGGGAGGGTTGTTGTTTTGGTTTGGTTTTGTTTTTTTAGACAGTGCCTTACTGTGTTGCCCAGGATGGTCTTGAACTTATGTAAGCAAGTGATCATCTCACTTCAGCTTCCTGAGTAGCGGGGCCTACAGGATGCCACTGTATCCATTTTATCTAAGTATAGCTTTTTAAATGACCACGGAGCACAGTCAAATATATAGGGCTATTATTACCATAAACCTAAAAGTCTGAAATCCATCCTGAAATTCTGCAGAATCTCAATACATCCATGACCCGCAGGGTTTGCACTTGAAAAATGATACCAAGCACTACGTCCTGTCACCCTGGCCTGTGTCCTGGCACCGTGAGGTGAGCTGTTTTGATCTACAGGAATACTTCAAACCCTTTTCTCCACAGTTCCTCGGGGCACTGAAATCACCAAACAGATTATAATTGGTACTCCCGGGACTGTCCTAGATTGGTGCTTCAAGCGAAAATTGATTGATTTGACTAAGATCCGTGTATTTGTCCTGGATGAAGCAGATGTGATGATTGACACCCAAGGATTCTCAGATCAGAGTATTCGTATCCAAAGGTAACCTTCACGTTCATCCGTTCCTCCTGGATTTTCAGTCTACATGATCAGTTTTGTTTCTCTGCTCTTCCTAATTACCTCCATTGCTTAAGTTCTTGCTGTTGTCACCTCCGGCGGACTGCGGGTTTGTCATAGTTTCACCAGCTCAGGGCCCCCTCAGGCTGCTGTGATGCCTGCCTTCACTGTGAGTGCCTCTCTGCTGTGCGTGTTTGCAGGGCAGACTTACAGGTTGAAGGGTGTGTCCTGGGTCGCACAAGGTTTTGCCAGTCATGTTTTATATCCTGAGCAGAATCCTGAAGGTATCTGCTGAAGGCTGCCTTGAGGATGTGATGGCCATTGGGCTAGACTAGAAAACACGTGGTGTTGGAGCAGGTCTAGTCCTGACTCCACTTCTAGTGTGTAAGTAAATTATACCATTTCCCCAGATTTCTCTAACAAATCACCTGACGGACGGGCTTCCGATAACACATTTCTGGGCCCTTCCTCACACCCACTGCGTTGAGATTTGGGGAGGGAAGTTAAGAATCTGCCTTGCTCTTTTTTTTTTTTTTTTCTTTCTTTTTTAATAAAGTTAAGGTGGTGGTGCATGCCTTAAATCTCAACACTCAGGAGGTAGAGGCAAGTGGATCCTCTGTGAGTTGGAGGCCAGCCTGATCTACAAAGCAAGTTCCAGGATAGCCAGAAACTGTTACACAAAGAAACCCTGTCTCAAGGGGGGAAAAAAGTAATATTTACTCAACTTTAAATTCAATAGTATTTAGGAACAGTAGACCCCTGCCTGCTCAGTCCTAAGAACATGCCTGTCTTTTCTGATGCCAATCTTCGGATCTTAAATAACATGCTCACATTACTGTCTCCTGATGTCAAGTCATCGTCTCCTTACTTCTCAGTGTAGAAAGTAGCCCTGATTTCTTTTGAACCACTGCCCTTGCCCACTCTCTGCCTTCTCTCGGAGGTTAAATCGTAAGAGTTTGATTGTGCCAGCGCTGTTTATGTCAGTCTGAGGACACATGCAGATGCAGGCACGCACTGTGGACTGCGGGTCCAGTGGTGTAGTGTTGTTACTGTGTGTTTATCATACAACTTCCCCTTGACTATTGTCTTTTTCCCATGCATTAGCCCTGTGTAGGGAGGGATCTCTAGCTTTTCCCTGACTATTCCATCAGCTGTGTCATATGCAAGAGCTTTCTTCACATAGCCACATCATGTTGTTTGTGTTCATAATTTCTTTTATTTTTGAGATTATAATATAATTACATTATTTCCCCCTTTCCTTTCCTCCCTCCAAACCATCCCATGTGGCCTTCTTTGCTCTCTTTCAAATTCATGGCCTCTTTTTTTTTAAATGATTGTTACATGCATATATGTATATGTTTGTACACGTATTCCTTAGTAAAACCTGCTTGGTCTGCATAATGTTACTTGTGTGTGTGTTTTCAGGGCTGACCATTTGGTACTGGGCAAACAGTTGGTGTGCTCTGCCCTGGGGGAGACTGTTTCCCTGCTCTCAGCATTGCTTTTTACCTCTAGTGTTTTGTGTAGGGTTGAAGCCCACAGATACGTGCAGTCCTCACTCCAGGAAACTTTCTCTTTGCAACAGACAGAGATCATTATAGAAAACCACAACTGATCAAAATGCAGAGTTGTAGAGCCAAGTCCCATTGGATAAATCTACAAAAATCTCCCCCACCTCAGGCTCAGAGATCATAGAGGAAGAGTAGGGGAGAGACTGTAGGAGCCCAAGGAACAGGTAGTCTACTGTGATACTGTGTAATGTCAAAAGCTCCAGCCATAAAGTGTCACTGACAGGGCTGCCTGAACATGAGCGAGCAAGGACAACAGTCGACATGCCAGAGTGGATGGAGGAAAGTCCATGAGGCCTCGAATCATGTTGTTAGTCCTTGGCTTCTGTTTATCCGGGAGGTCTCTCCAGGTCTCCCTCTCCTGCCTGTCTGAGTGTCCAGCCCTGTTGTGTACTTTAATCATGGCTGTGCTGTTGCTCATTTGCTGCTTTGCATCTCCCAAAGTCCCTGGGTTCCTGTGTAATCTCCTGAATGTGCTGGGTTGTATTTTCTCATCTCCTTTAAAGTATATAAGAAGTTTGTGGGTTAATTTTGTTTTTTAGCTTGTATGTGTCTCAAACGTTTTTACTGTCTTATAAATCTGGTCTCTATTACATAGGAATCCTGTATTGAAAAACCATTCTTCCTCCCAATTTCAGGTGCATTGTTGAAAACCAAACAGTTTTCCCTGGGTAACGTTATGTGTAATCAGTACTGTGAGCTTCTGCTTCTGTGGCGGGGAGGTTGGATGTCACCCTGCTTCCCTAGACCTTGATCTTAGCCTACCATTGGGGTCTCTTGCCGCTTCCAGATCCTGATAGTTCTCACTGGAGTTTGTTGACTTTTATTGTCAAACCTTGTGCCTGCAAGTTCTGGAAATTATCTGAAGTTGTTTCTTTTCCTAGAGAGAGCCCATATAGGACACAGTCATCACAAATAAGAAATATTAAAAATGGAAATAATTATACACATGTTACTAAAAAGCAAGGGTTGCTATTTCTGTTTCCTGGTGATCCATTCTCCATTCTCCTTCTCTCTGTGTTTCCATTTTGGAGAAAGACATCTGTTTTCATTTATTGCACATCTTTCCAGAGACACCAACAGTGTAGTCACCATATGAGTACATGTCTTCATAGTTAAAGGTCTTTCTAAGTGCAAACTTCAAACTGAAAAGTGGCCCAAAACTTTGATAATGACATGGTCAGATATTACAAGCTTTTTAAAATGTCAGGTGCAAAGTATGCAAGACATGTAGCTGGTAGGACCATTTTTGTTTTATTTGATCAAGAATTTGTGGGATGAATAGAATTTGCCAGAATTTTTATTTACATGCTACTACTACTTTATATTTGGGTAAGATGTCTTTTATTTTCTTTGTTTTATAAAAAATTCATAAATATCATCTTCATTTTTAAAATTGAAGTATCTTTGTGCGTGTGTGTGTGTGTGTGTGTGTGTGTGTGTGTGTGTGTCTTGAGAAAGACTTTTTTCTGTAGCCCAGGCTGACATGGGATAACTATGTAGCCCAGCCTGTCCTCAAACTCATGACAGTCCTACCTCACCCTCTAACTGCTGAGATTACAGGTGTTAGCCAGCATGCTTGATAGGGACACATTTTTATTGCTGGGTGTGGTGGAGCATGGATTACACATCTGAAGCAGATTTAAAAGAATCAGCTCTCACACAGAAAGCTGTGTCATCTGTTATCAGCATTCTGCCTTTCCTTACTCACAGGACATTTTATTTAGGTCTATAAACCGTGTCCCCCGCTACCCTTTACTGAAATTAGATTCTTTTCTCATACAGTATATCCTGATTATAGTTTCCCCTTCCTTCATTCCTCCAAGTTCCTCCCCATTTTCTCTCTCCTCTGGATCCACTCCCTTTCTGTCTCTCATTAGAAAAGAACAGGCTTCTAAGAGATAACAACCAAACATAACAAAATAAAATATAATACGATGAAGCAAAAACTTTCATCTCAAAATTGAACATGGCAACCCAACCAGAGGAAAAGAGTCCCAAGAGCAGGCACAAGAGTCAGAGACCCACTTGTTCTCACACTCAAGAGTCCCATAAAAATACTAAGCTGAAAGCTGTAGTGTACACTCAGAGGGCCTGGAACAGACCCACATCAGCCCTGCGCTCACTGCTTCAGTCTCTGAGTTCATATGAGCCTTGCTCAAGAGGGCCTTGTTCTCCTGGGGTCCTCCATCCCCTCTGGCTCTTACACTCTTTCTGCCTCCTCTTCTATGGGGTTCCCTGAGCTCTGGAATGAAGGATTTGATGGGGACATCCCACTTAGTTTTATATAAACCAGGTCTTATATTTTCTGTACTTAAGACTCATTTTCACTGGAGAAATTTTTACATGACTCCAAATATTTAGGTACATAAATGTCAAGCATTTACTGAAAATGAGTCATAAAGAGATTTATTTTAAAACAGTTTGTTGGTATGCATATAATTTTACATTAATGATAAAAATAAAATTTGCATAATAGATGGATGTGCCTTTTATTTTTATATCAAGAATTAAATATTGCCTGAAACAAAAGTTATTCAATATTTTCTAGAGTTCATTGATATTTTTAAATTGCCAATGCTAGAAATACCACTTTGCTTAATTATTTAATACAAATAGCAGAAATATGTTTCACACCATTTTGGAAATTATTAGAATTTTTTTTCCTAACCTCAAGTTACAGTTAATGTTCTTTGTTTGTTTGTTTGTTTTTTATGAAATTCAAGTCAATAACTCAGAAAATCTTGAAATCAAATAGCCCAGCAATTACGACATACTGATTTGATAAGAACATGTCAAGGAATGTTTCTGTGAGAACAGAAAGCCTTGTAGGGAGCTCAGACGCATCCAGTAGTGACCAGTTGGAGCCGAGTGTCTCAAGCAATAGTTATTGGTATCTTGTATGGCTTCAGGGGCAGGCACAGCACCAAGTGAAGCTGCCACGTGCTCAGAACCAAGACGACTCTAGTTGCATACAGTGTGCAAGCCACACTCTGCACCCCAGGCAAGCTCCGCTGGAAACACCTCAGGTTCATTACGGGTTTGATTTGGAATTAGTTGTTGGCCTCTGCCCGCTCAGATATCTTTTTACTGGATTGCAGACTTTTTCACACTCCCCACATTCAGTTATACAACCCAGATGGGGTCACAGCCCACAGTGTAAGATGCTTTCTGTAAACCCTGAGCTACCGCTACTCCATGTCCTGGAGATAGAACCCAGGGACACTCTAACGCGTGCTCATGTGGGTGCTGTGGCTGAGCTAATTGAGGGGCTACTGTTTCACCTCGGCGCTGGGCTCTTGAGGGAGCCACCTTTAGAAATTTGAAAGCACTGCCTTTCTCCCCTAAACTTCCAAGTCTGTCTGTGCACTGGCCCCTTGCATCCCTGACCCTAGCGCCTAGTCTAACCCTTGACTCCAGGTGCTCTTTAATCGGGGGTTTATCGTGCACTTCCTTCTGTCTGAGGTTAAAATGGCAGTCTCGGCTTTCTTTTTCCTGTCTGCCCCCTACTCGTGGTATTTCCTGGTTGTTTCTTTTCCCTCACTTCCTTTTCTTGTGTTATGGATACGGCATCCACCTTCCCTCGCTGAGGGTACTAATCTCAGTATTATTGCAAGGTGGTACTGCTGCGCTTTCGGTTTCCGTCTATTCCCAGTTTTCAACGTTGTCTGAACTGGCCAGCTCTCCTGTTTTGTTTGTTTGCTGCATCCGGCTTTCACAAAGGGTGGACCTTTCTTCTCCCCATCTGGCAGTGCTTGGCAACTCTTCATAATCCGAGGGACTGAAATTCCAGGAAGCGTTCCTTTCGGGTGGTTGGCATAGGGGGGCATCAGAACTAGGTGATGCTCTGACCTCTTCCAGGAGGCAGCAGCGCTTGGCGGCTGGCAGTCTGGATGAGAAGAGCTACCAGGAAGTGTGCATGCTTTCATTTGATTCGTTCCCTTCGGCCACGTGACTCATTCCACCTACCATTAATGCTCCTGTCTCCAAATACGGAATTTCCACGCTAGTCTCCCAGTAGTAAGTGCTTAGCTGCTGAAATAAGGGACCCAGTTGTTTGTTCGTTATGGCTAGAGGTCAGGGGAGAGTCTCCTCTTGCCGTCCTCTAACCAGTAAGTTAGCGTGTTTACGCTGTAGAGTAAGAGTCAGAACTCTGCCGGGCAGTGGTGGTGCACGCCTTTAATCCCAGCACTTGGGAGGCAGAGGCAGGCAGATCTCTGTGAGTTTGAGGCCAGCCTGGGCTACAGAGTGAGTTCCAGGAAAGGCACAAAGCTACACAGAGAAACCCTGTCTCGAAAAACCAAAAAAAAAAAAAAAAAAAAAAAAAGTCAGAACTCACGATTTAGTAGTCAAAAGGGGCTTCTGAAAAGGTCCCTCTTATTTCCTACTCAGGAGAAAGCTGTATAATAATTAGAGCACTTATGTTGGTTGCTCAGCACTCCCTTTTTTGATTTCCTTTCTTTGGGTTGTTAAAACAATCCCTTTAAGTGGTTCGGCTCATTCCCTTTAGATGTATTCCCAGTGTGAGACTACTGAACCTTACATTGGGAGGAGATTGGCGTGTGTGACTGCTGACCCTCCAGAATGCTCGGAGATTCACATCCCACATACATTTTTCCAAATTCTTGGTGGCAGATAGGGACAGGATATTTGACTTGTTGCCTGGAGGTGGCGCTGATCACAGCACACAGCACCATGTAAGCTTACAAGTATGCCAATCCTTGACGAGTGACAGTCTGGCAGCTGAGTGACGGCATCTTCCTTCTCTTTCAGAGCTTTACCCTCCGAATGCCAGATGCTCCTCTTTTCGGCAACCTTTGAGGACTCTGTGTGGCAGTTTGCTGAACGAATCATTCCTGACCCCAATGTTATCAAGTTACGAAAAGAGGAACTGACCCTGAACAACATCCGACAGTATTATGTGTTGTGTGAAAACAGAAAAGACAAATACCAAGCCCTGTGCAACATCTATGGCGGCATCACCATTGGCCAGGCCATCATCTTCTGCCAGGCAAGCCTGCTGCCTGTGTCTTTGCCATGGACAGATTCCATACAAGTGCGCGGGGAGACTATATCATGAGTAAATGCCATCGAGCCAGGCACTGTGTTCACTTTAACCCTCAGAACAGCTTTGACTAGAATCTTCAGCTTCGGGGTGAAACTTAGGAAGGTTGGCTGATGGGATGGACCTTAAATAAAGGTCCCTTTTAGAAAGCCTGCCACTAGCACATCCACACTTGGCTTTTCCAAGTCTGTGATGTTACTTATACTGATCTCTATCCCACTGTGTTTATTTTATGTGGGCTGGTAGGGGGGAGTTGTGTTGTGTTTGCTTCTTGCTATCTGACCCTTTTCATGCTCGTATACTTTATTTTCATTCCTACCATGTGAACATGCTTAGCATTATGAGCAGGGTGTTGAGACATATCCCCTGCTCTAGACTGGCATCTGCTGGCATGTGGACAGAACTGAAATCCTCTGTAGAATGAAAACAAGTTCAGCTCTGCCCCAAGATAGTCATGTAAACTAGGCAAGTTACTTAGCTTTAGAATTGTTTTCTTTTTGGTCCATTTAACAAAGATGATGCAGATGCAGATGCAGATGCAGAAATGGGTAGCTATTTTATTGTGTACATAAAGATGTTAATCACATGGCTCCTACAAAGAACTCTTGTAGTGTTTGTTGGTTTGGTTTGGTCATCAGAAAAGGCCAAAGCTTGGTCAAGTTGAGAGACTGTGATTCTTCAAATCGCGGAGAATGTCATGCCACAGCCTCCTTGGAAGACTGAGGGAGAAGGAAACAAGCCCTCTGCAGCTTTCCCCCTTCACCCATGAGCTTACGGGGCAGCCAGTCTGCTTAGACTCATGCTTTGATTTCTCTCATAGACACGGCGAAATGCCAAGTGGCTGACTGTGGAGATGATGCAGGATGGCCACCAGGTGTCCTTGCTAAGTGGGGAACTCACAGTGGAGCAGCGAGCGTCCATCATCCAGAGGTTCCGAGATGGCAAAGAGAAGGTCCTCATCACAACCAATGTCTGTGCTCGAGGTTTGTGAAAGTTGAGTGTTGCTGGGAAATGTATGCAGTCATAGAAACACCACTGTAATCAACATCAGAACCTGCCACCTCCCCAGCATGGTCCTGGCTTTCTCTGCACCCAGGCTCCTCCCAGCACAGCCTCTGGCAACTGCTGCCGATGCGATTTCTCTTCCAGACTGCTGCCTACATTGAATCATATAGTGTAGAGCCTTTGTATCTGATTTGTCCACCTAGCATGCTGCTGCTGAATTTCCCCAGCTTTGTTTGCTAAGGCAACAGTAGTTCTGTTCCTCTTCGTTGGCAATAGTACTCCATTGATAGCTCAGTCATTTACCAGTTGGGTATTTGAATTGCTTGCAGCTAGGGGTTACTTTGAATGTGTCTGCAATAAAAAGTCATGTGTAGGGGCTGGAGAGATGGCTCAGCCGTTAAAGGCTAGGCTCACAACCAAAAAAAGTCATGTGTAGGTCTTTGTATCCACACACGTCTTCATTTCTCTTGGGTAAATACCTTGCTGTGGAACTGCTTTCTAAGAAACTGCTGCTCTTCCGCAATGTCTCAACCACTGTGCATTCCCACCAGCAGGGTACGCTCCCATTGATGATGTTCCACGCCCTTGTCATTCATTAATCTTGTCAGTTTCTTGTTTCAACCATTCAGATGGAGTTGCATTGTATCTCCATGCGGTTTGAATTTGCATTACCCTAATCACTAATAATGCCAACATTATTAGTATCTTAGGTGTTTCGAGTTTTAAATCTACATTTTCAAGCTGAGAAGTGTTAAGAAAGAGGACTGCGTATATTTTTATCCTTCTCACATTGTTGTTTGGACGCTATACTCAAATTGGACCCCAGACTCTAGGTCAGCCTATACTCAAACCATGTTCTCTAGGTCAGCCTATACTCAAACCATGTTCTCTACGTCAGTCTGTACTCAAACCACGTTCTCTAGGTCAGTCTATACTCAAACCACATTCTCTAGGTCAGCCTATGCTCAAACCACGTTCTCTAGGTCATTGAATAGAACAAAGGGCCTGCTCTACTAGCCTTGTCTTGGAAGCCTAGCCTCCCTGAAAAAGGGTGAAGCTCCTGGCCCTTGGGAACTGTTCTTGCCTGGAGCTATCCAAAGGGACTTTGTGCTGTCCAGATGGTGGCCACTAACTAACTGTATCAGCTCTTGAGCACTTGAAACATCACAGTATGACTGAGGAACTGGATTCTTTTTAATTTGGCTAATTTAACTGTGAATAGTCTATGAACTGTTATGGTTTCCTTTCTGGACAGAATGATCTCAGGCCCTAGGGGGGAAAATGGCAAAGAAAGCTCCAGGCTGAAGGCTCGGAGCAGAGAGGGAAGGATGATGATGTGGGCAGCCTGTCAGTGTGGCCATGGAGGCCCAGGCGACAGAGAGGTGTCCTAGGCAGCACTACGATTGAAAGGTATTGAAGAAAGGACAAAGTTCAGATGATTTTTAAATGCTGGGGATTGAACTCGGGGCCTTGTGCTTGCTAGGCGGGCACTCTACCACTAAACCACAGCTCTGGTCAGAACAGGTCAGTTGGGTAGGAAAATACAGTGGCTTAGAAAATGCCCAGCCCTTGTAGCTGGAACTGAACATGGCGATGAGGTGAGCCCGTAGGTGGTTTGAGGATTTGAGGAGCATGTATTCTAGGCTGTGAGCACAAGTGTCCTGGACATGGCGGTGGTGGCTGTGAGCACAAGTGTCCTGGACATGGCGGTGGTGGCCTCTATGTGACGTTAGGAGAGTGGGGAAGAGATTGAGGGAAAAGCATTGTAACGCGGAACGCTGAGTGGAGGTAACACTGAGACAAGGGATGAAAAACTGGCATGATGAGAACACAGCCATGGAGTACAGTTGAGCTGCATCCCATAATGGGTAAGAAGACCCTGGACCTACGAGCCTGCTGGGGACTAAGCTCCACAGAAGTAGGGAAGAGCTTGGCCTTGTAGGCTTGGTGAGGGCCTCTCTCCGCCCCCCCCCCCTTCCCCCACTCACATATACATGCTTTGTACCCAGATTGGTGCAGAATTAGCCTTGATTAGCTTGATTGCTGCCCCGCATCACAGACACCACCGTGAGCAAGCAAACTGCCCTGTCTTAGGACCCACTAGTGAGAGTTCCTTTGGCAAATACAGTTCTTGGTGGATTTGTCCTGAAGAAATTGTTGCAAGACCCTATAGTGTCTTTCTTCTCCTAGGAATTGATGTGAAGCAGGTCACCATCGTGGTGAACTTTGACCTTCCTGTAAATCAATCAGAAGAGCCAGACTATGAGACCTACCTCCACCGTATAGGACGGACAGGACGCTTTGGGAAAAAAGGTCTCGCCTTCAACATGATTGAAGTGGATAAGCTGCCCCTGCTTATGAAAATACAGGACCACTTCAGTAAGTAGCAGGCTTTCGCATGCACAATAGGGGCCCCAGACGTGCTCACACTGTCCGTGAGGGCAGGGAGGTTGTGTGAAACAGAAGCCGTGAGAGAATAGCTTCTAGTTCATAGGGTGAAAGTCATAACCTGGGCCAAGTGATTACATGATTCCTTCATGGTTAAACAGAAGTTTAAGTGTCAAGCTCAAGTCAATTCACATGAGCTCATTCTGCAATCTGTAGAATTTTATGCCCATAGAGCAATACCACAAAGTAATGACACCCTTTAGGATTTATTGTGTCCCAATTTCCTCTTTTTTTACAGTTTCTCCTTAGTCTCACCCTCTCAGACAGGACAGTCCTGGCTTCTGAACTTTGCAACCTTTCCCAGCCCCACATCTGAACAAGCAGACTCAGCTAGTCTGCTGGGCCCCAGAACTGTCAGAATGCACTCATGGGAGCGTCAAGGGAGCATCACTTGGTAGCTGTACCCCCTCCCCTGCAGAAGCCAAGTGTAGTGGCACACACCTTTAATCCCAGCACTCAGGAGCAGAGGCAGGAGGATCTCTGTGAGTTCAAGGCAGCCTGGTCTTCATAGTGAGTTCCAGGACAGGCCAGTCACATAGTAAGACTGTCTTGAAGAAACAAACAAACAAACATTACCCCAAGCCCAAGAGAGCTGTGTAGATGGCTTTTCATTTAGATTATATGCTCATACCTATTTTTGAACCTGGCCACTGATGGGAGGGGGAGCATGGCAAGAAGGCCTTAAGTACCATCTTCTCGGATGGGACTCCGTTGGAAGCCGTAGGCACACTCCCCAGGAAGTGGACTCACCGAACATTGGAATGGAATTTGTAAAGGTTTTCAGGCTGACTGCTGCATTTCCACTGACCCTTTAAAGTACTGCTTAGGCACCCCATCTTAAACTACCTGAGTGGCACCCATGTAGGCCACTACTGCTCTGCTGAACTCCTGGGAAGTAACTCCAGTGAGGAGGCTTGGTCCACCCCAGCTTTTCTCACTATCAGCAAAGCCTCTTTTTGCTCAAGGTATCCAGATATATACACTCTGGATCCAGTCTATTTGCTGCTGTTGTAGTTTATGTGGGCCAACTATTTGGTGTCTGTTACTCATTTGGGGCTTCCTATACAAAATGTCACAGGAGCAGGGTGTTTGTTTGTTTGTTTGTTTGTTTGATGAGACAGGGTCTCACTATGTAGCCCTGGCTGTCCTGGAACTCACTGTGTAGATCAGGCTGGCCTCAAAATGACAGAGATCCACCTGCCTCTGCCTCCTGAGTGCTGGGATTAAAGGCGTGCATCACCACACCCTGCTTAGAAACTATTTTAAAGGTGTCACTGTTTCTAGTATGGCTGGCTGGAATGAACTTGCATTTAGGACCTGGGATGAGACTGGATTCTTTCTCTTTCGTTCTTTCAGATAGCAATATTAAGCAACTCGACCCAGAAGACATGGATGAGATTGAAAAGATCGAATATTGAAGAGAGGCCTTTGTTGTTTGTGGGCTTTCCTAGTTTGTGAGAATGTTGCAGCAGGTTTTGAAGATAATTTTCTATGTTGAGGCTCTGTCAAGGTGAAACTGTCACAGACAACAAAATAAATGTCATGGTACTCTTCATTCTAAGACCCAAATTGATTCAAAGCATGTGACCGGTTTAAATGAGAATGCAGGATTCCTTCTTCTAATCTGTTTACAGGTAGCATCTCCCGGAGCTGCTGCGGAGATGGCTTTTCATTTAGATTATACAATGATACCCATTTATGAACCTGGCCACCAGGGGGCGGTAGAACATCACCAGTTTTAGAATGGAAGCTGGCAGGACCGATGGAAAGCCACCCATTTTCAGGCCTGGCTCACAGACTGCCCTTTCTATTTATCAGTTACCCCATTCCCACCCCTTGCTCAGGCGAAAGGATACTTTAAAATTTTGGAAGAGACAGAATTTTAATATTTCAGGTGACATCCAGAATTTCTGAATATTTTCCTCTTCTGCTTGTTACGGTCTTCAAATCAGAAAAGCTTTGTTATTTCACAGTCTTTAAAAATGTGGCTTTATTCTAGATGTTTCTCAGAAGAGGGCAATGAAGGTTCCAAAAACAGCAAGCTAGGACCTGAGGAGATGCTGCACTGTGGGGACAGTGCTGCTTGTATGATCGTGAGGGTCTGAGTTCACATCCCAGCACATAGCTGGGAGCCAGAAACGTAGATCAGGAACTCACAGGCCAAGTCAGTCCACCTGAAATGGCAAGTTCCGGGTTCAGTGAGAGACACTGCCCTGGAAACCAGGTGGAAAGCAGTGATGTCAGCCCACAAGCATCTGCATGCACACACACATATATGCGCTCACCCATGCACATCTTCACACAAACATGCATCACAGAAATCCACCAAAAAATTAAACAGAATAAGCCCAGAAATAACATGTCAGGGAGTCAATGATGTTGCTTGTAAAAGCTTCATGGTAGCAGAGTATGGTGGTCTGTACCTGCAATCCCAGCATTCAGAAAACAGAGTTGGGAAATTCCCACAAGTTTGAGGCCAGCCTAGTCAACACAGCAAGACCCGTCCCAGAATTAAAAAAAAAAAAAAAAAAAAAAAAAAAAAAAAGCTTGTTTCAAGAAAAATTTAAATCTTCTAAGCAAAAATTTTCTCAATTACCACAAATGCTACTTAGAAATTAAATCATGAGCCTGAAGAAGTGGGGTGAATGGCTGGATTCTCACAAAGCTAAAGTCTGCAGCTCTGCCACACTTCCAGCCGCCAGCGGCCTCTCCAGTGAGTGAGTGCCACCCTGCTGTAGATGAGGCTCGTGGCTTGTCTATTTTGATAGTCCATGTGGCTGTCACTGTGCCCATGTTGATCCCTAAGTCCAGGGCTCAGAACGGGAGAATGGGCAGGCTCCCTCACAAAACACTAGGTGTCTATCATGCATCCTTGTTCCAAGCAGCAGGGAAAGGGGAGATAAAAAGATTCAAGACACCTCGGCAGAGAGTATAATGGCAGAGACCCCGTATAAGCCAGCATCAGAACAGCTAAAGGGGAAGAACACATGTATCCAGTGTCACACAGATGGCCTCCAGGATATACCAGGACTCCTACAAGGGGCTGGGACATGCCTAGCACCATGGCAGTCTCCTAACATGGGCCCCCGGGACAGTGTTCCAGACCAGCTCATCCTGGGCGTTACCTAGAAAGCCTAGGAAAAGCTGCCAGTCCCTTGTCCTGGGTAGACAAAGCCAGATGCTCTAAGGATCCAGAAGTACTTAGGTACAGAGCCGGAAGTGTTGTCACAGTAGCGGATAGAAAAACCCGTCTAACAAGAAGATGCTGAGGCAGCCGTTCTCTGAGACAGTTTGCCAAAAGGAGCCGCCATTTGGGAATATCTGCTCCATGGTTTACACTGCATCTGCTTTCCTCTCTGTGACTAGAAACCATCAGTCTTTGTCCTCAGGACCTCGCCCAGCATGGTACCCATAATAGCAACTCCATGAATATTTACTCTCGTAGGAAGTAAGTATTTTTCTCCTTTTGCTCTCTCCTCATCCATTTTCCCTGGTTTTGAACCCCGATCGTAAGACATAGGATAAGCAAGAAGGAGAGACATAGTAAGGTATTTTGTCTAGCTATTTGAGAAATGCCTTGGGCTCTCCACCCTGCCCAGCTCAGCCTTGGTGTCCTACATGAAGCCGCAAACGCACACCATTTCCAGGACAGATGTCTGGCAAGGCCTCAGCGGGTCACTGCCACCACAAGAGCCTTCGGTCGGCTCCGCCTGGCAGCTCTTCCCACAGAGTCTGCAAACACCAGACATCCTTCTGCCTTGTCCCTCTCCTCCCATCCCTTTGTCTCACCACCCAAGGGACAGCAAGGTCATGGCTGTATTAAACCGCTGTCACAGGGCGGTGAGTCAGCAATCCTAAGACTGCTTTGCAGGGCCAGTTCCTTTGCTCAGAAATGTAAGCAAATTCCCTAGCTCCACCATGACCTGGCCGGGGTCATCTCTGAGTGCTAGCTGGATGAAGGAATAAATGGAGAGGCGAGAAACAGCCAGATGGTTCCAGACCATCTGTGAGCTGGTTTAATCAGCTGTGTGTTACTTGGCACCAAAGACTAAACCAAATCCAGGAGGTTTACATTGGCCAGCTCAGTACTGGTAGCATACCGGACTTGGTGATTACATGCGGTAGGGTTGTGATTTGCAGGGGAACTGTGAGTGATCGCCTCACAGTGATCAGCCCGGGCCTGCGGCTGTGATGTTAGGTGCGGGATCTAAGGCAGCGATTCATAACTGAGAAGAGTTGCCCGCAGTCTGGGAGGGTGTCTGACAGCTCAGGGGGCATTATGTGTTTAGAGAAAGGGCTCCTCCTCAGTAGAGCTCGGTTACCACGAAAGCCACTGGCAGTCTGCACGCATCAGCAATGAGAAAAGTCTCAGAGGATTGCAGGAGTGGGTGGGGGTGGGGAAGTGAGCAGTTCCTGACCAAACACAGGAGAAAGCCTGGTTGTGCCAAACCTGCATCTGGTTCTTGGGCCTCTTAGTTCATGCAGGCTCCCAGATTAGAAAAAGAACCCAAGCAGAGCCGGGGGGTGGCGGCGCACGCCTTTAATCCCAGCACTCAGGAGGCAGAGGCAGGTAGATCTCTGTGAGTTCGAGGCCAACCTGGGCTACAGAGTGAGTTCCAGGAAAGGTGCAAAGCTACGCAGAGAAACCCTGTCTCGAAAAAAAAAAAAGAACCCAAGCAGAGCCATCCCTGTTGTTGGGCTGGTAACAGAAAGACAAGTCCAGACCTAGGGCCTCCAGGCTGGCCATGCACTGTCTTTCCACTGGACCTTCCACTGGCACCATTGAACAGGCAAGCATACTGGCCTTCTCAGTGGGCCTCCCAGAGCCAGCACTTCGTGTCTATTAGTCTTCCAAGGGAGCTGTTCAATCCTGACTCCGGCCCTCAGCCACTTCCAGAGAATAATCAGGAACATCTAAGACCTGTGTGTCATTTTGCCCCACAACCTGTGACAATGCTTTGAGGACTACTAACTTTCCAAAGCCACCATTGGGAGAATTAGCTATCACTCTGCCCCTCACGCCTGTCTGCTGGCTTCTTCCCCCTTCTACTCCTGCCCCTCGTTTCCTGCATAATGTTCTAATACAGACTGTGTCTTCTCGTTTGCCGTGGCCACCCAGAAGGTCAGCTGAGCCGTGCTCTGGCCTGTTCACACAGTGTGGCCTGACCCATTATCCCTAGACACTGTTCTGATTTCCCAGATTGCTTTGCAAACTCTTGTTTATAATATGTGTGGGGCTGAAGCACCATCCACAGTTCTTACATTTATTTTTTTTTACATTATTGTGGGAGGGGCCACGTGCATGCCACAGCACATGTGTGGAGGTCAGAGGACAAGTTCCATAGTTGGTTCTCTCCTACCACTATATTGGTTCTGGCATGGGACTCAGGCTCTCAGGCTTAGTGGCAAGTGCCTTTACCAATGAGCTGCCTCACTGACCCCCATTCCCTCTCTCCCCCACACTCTTGCTTCCTCATACATTCTCTCTCTCTCTCTCTCTCTCTCTCTCTCTCTCTCTCTCTCTCTCTCTCTCTCTCTCTCATGTGTGTGTGTTATGTTTGAGATAAGGTCTCACTGTGCAGCCAGGCTGGTCTGGAGCTTGCTATTTAGACCAGGCTGGGCCTCAGACTCATGAAGATCCAGCCGCCTCTGTCTCCTGAGTAGGATTAAGGCATGTGCCCATTCTCCATTTTAAATGTAGAATATCTGCTTCATACAGAACTAGTAAAATAACAGGAAACGCACCTGAAGTGTGCTGGGGCTCAAAGAGAAAAGTAACTGTCTAGACACCCCACACAACACCCCAGAGCCTGGCTCTGTACGTTCCCAGCCCCCTTGGTCCAGTGTTTCAGTCTTCTACTTCTGGGGAAGTTATAAACAAGCAAAAGCTCTACTATCAGGAAAACAAGCTCCAGGGAGACTCTATCCACCATTTAATGGCAACCCAGGGTCTTTACTGTTCTTCTTGATCAGAATAATTATGTATTTATTTCAGTTTTGAGAATATATCTTCACTGAATATGGATGCTCTCCTATTTTGAACTTAGTAATTTCCTAAGCTAGAATCAATAGATAGTCTCACTCTAGGCTCTTGGTTCATGGTGGTCTGTGGCTTGAAAACTTGGTTAGAATGAAGTGCTTGACCAGGAAGGCCAGTTATGAGTGAAGTTCAGGGTCCAGTCACGTACAGAAGCCTCTGATGTTGCTTGAGTTACACACTTTTAGTTGAACAACCCATTTTGTAGAGTCGTGACATTCACTGTCCTTCACGGAGTGCCCAGTCAGAGAGCGAACAGTTACTTGTAGAATCCATGGGAATTTGGCATAAAATGATCTCTGAGGCTCTGCCCATTCTAAGATACCATGTTTCTGTGACCCCACAAAAAGCAACACTGCTGTGGGATGTCTTTCTGTACGCTGTGAATATGTTGCTCTCATTGGTTGATAAATAAAGCTGTTTGGCCAATGGCGAGGCAGGGCTGGTACCTCAAGGTCATAGGTGGAACAGGTACCACTGTACAACACACATGAAGAATGTAAGTCTTGGAGGTTTTT